TCGAAGAAATACGAGTTCACTCTGCTCAATTGCCAAATGGGATTTATTTCTGTGTTGCTCATAAGTTGGGTATTTTACATTAGACACAAATGTTTTTGTTCATTTTAAATGAAATTATTCAATAGTTGGATATGTATACCTATTAAATAAAAGGGTATTACACTTTATGTAAAATATAAATTTATTCAATTAATATTTAGACTGCTTTATTTAAATATTTCAGTGTTAGATTTTATTTAGTTATTAGAAAGCGAGGTATTCTACCTGTGTCACAAATACAATTTTTTTCACTGTATTTCTAATTGCTGCTACTATTTTTAGATACATTTTTAAAATATATTGCTCATCATGTTATTTCCCCTTTTTTTTTGCTCTGAAAATAATAAATTATTTCATTTAAAGATTTCTGCCATCGTTGCAGAATTTATTCACTTTAAGAAACCCTTTTTGGACATTTTTAAAATATGTTTAGCTTTAAATTAGTTAAAAGCGTTAATAAGAAATCGTGTATATTTTATATTTTTACCACTGTATAACCAATGGAATCCACTATTTATTAAATTTTACTTTATTTACTTCTATCCAGATCGGCTGGCACAGTGGGCGCCGTGGTCACATGTCCCCTGGAAGTGGTGAAGACGCGTCTGCAGAGCTCCACGGCTTTTATGACGCCATCGCGTCTGGCGGAGAATGCCGGCGGACCGGCGAACGGTGGCCAATCGGAGCTTTTGCGGCCGGAACAACGACGTAAGCTAAGCACAACGATATTACGTAACAGATCACAGCCACAGGTGATTGGGGGTGTGCGTAGGGTAGTACCAAATTCTTTTTACCTATTCTCTCATACCCATTTTACCCATTTCACCAATTTACCCATTGCCAATTGCATCCTAACTAGCTTGAGCTCAAGCCCCCTAAAAACCCAAATCCCAAACAAAAGAGCAGCGTTTAACATCTTCGATACCTTCATCTCCATTGCCTCGTCCTTAGTTAATATGGTTTAATAATCAAATGTCTTTTGAACTTGCAGATCATGGCCATTTCACATTGCGGCATCTCATCCACAACCCCCAAATCCATGAGCATCATGCAGTGCCTGCGGTAAGTAGAGACTTTCTTATTTACCAAGAGAAATTTATATGATAGGGGTACTTCATTTCTAGACATATTGTTCAGAACGAGGGTCCCCGCGCTCTGTTCAAGGGGCTGGGTCCGAATCTCGTGGGCGTGGCCCCATCCCGTGCCATTTACTTCTGCACCTACTCACAAACCAAGAACACGCTCAACAGTTTGGGGTAAGTTTCGCATTAAGTAGTTACTAAATTTCTTTGACTTTCCTCCAATCGAAAATCTTTTCCAATCGAAAATCAGCCCCTCTTTACTTTTCAAATAAAAAGCAACAGTGTATACTAAACAAAATTAAACTTATCATAAGAGATTATTATGTCGTCCCCATATTTTATAATTTAAGTTGAATTACTAAAAATTATAATTATAAATAGTAAAATCAAACTGATCAAACTTTTTATAAACTATACGCCAGGGAAATAGTCTAAATATTTTTGTTACTCCCCTGGCAAATCATTTTTCCAAGTGCCCCAATAACAATTGAATCTAATCCCCAGCTTTGTTGAACGTGACTCGCCATTGGTGCATATTATGAGTGCGGCAAGTGCTGGCTTCGTCTCCTCCACGGCCACGAATCCCATTTGGTTTGTGAAGACGCGGATGCAGCTGGACTACAACTCCAAGGTGCAGATGACCGTGAGGCAGTGCATCGAGAGGGTCTATGCCCAAGGTGGCGTCGCTGCCTTCTACAAGGGCATCACGGCCAGCTATTTTGGCATCTGCGAGACCATGGTTCACTTTGTCATCTACGAGTTTATCAAGTCTAAATTGGTAAGATTTTATTAAGAGTTTTATTTGTTATGTTTATCTTCTAATTTGGAATTTATTTGTCATACAGCTGGAGCAGCGAAATCAGCGACACACGGACACAAAGGGCTCTCGGGACTTCCTGGAGTTTATGATGGCGGGGGCTGTTTCCAAAACAATCGCCTCCTGCATCGCCTATCCCCACGAAGTGGCTCGCACTCGTCTGCGGGAGGAGGGCAACAAGTACAACTCCTTCTGGCAGACTTTGCACACGGTTTGGAAGGAGGAGGGCAGAGCAGGACTCTATAGGTGGGTGAAATGAATTAATTCTTCATTAAGTCCGCTGACAACAAAATCCATTTAAGCCAAGGGATTTCACTTCTATTGGCTATTTAAAAGAAATCCCCAGTAAAGCAATAGATAGAGATACTTCTATCTATTAATCAGTTGAATTAGTCGATTTAAGCCTCTTTTATAGGCTATTAAAAAGAAATCACAAGTATATAAACAGGAATCACATATCTTATCAAAATACTCATTCAAATTAAACAATAAGATTGTTTTTCCCTCATTTAATTGATTCGACAAAGTAAATCCCTGTTGATCCCAAAAACCCAACTTATAATAGTACTCTTGTCAATATAAACAATTCTATTTTATATAAAACCTATGTTTTTATGTTCTATAAATCTTTTAAAGTAAATCTCTCTACCTTTTCCAAACGTATATTTATAACACATCTATACACTTTATAAAAATATTCTATCCCATTTTAAATAAGAAACAAACATTTAACACGGATGCCGAGTTTTTTGCTTGCTCATTGCTAATGAATTATAATGCGCCACCCACGAATTCGTGTAGTCTATTTTAATTCTTTTGCGTCGCATATTTTTTGTTTGTTTACCTTAATTTGATTATCACTATAGCGAGCAGGCTGCTTTATTATATTACTGCTGTGTGGTCGAGTAATTACTCAACTAATTCAACCATCTGTTTTTATTGTTCGACCCACAGAGGCTTGGCCACGCAGCTGGTGCGACAGATTCCCAACACGGCGATCATGATGGCCACCTATGAGGCGGTCGTCTATGTCCTCACCCGACGGTTCAACAACAAATCCAACGAGTTCTACGACTTCTAGAGAGTCATCCTGTCCAGAGAATCCTAGTTAACAAACGAAAAGGAGGCGGAGGAGGAACCCAATCTGTGCATATGTAGACGCGACTGCTGCAACTTAATTGTAATACTGTACCCTTTTTAGACGATCCAAACCAACGAGCGCAAATTCTTTAGTTAACTAGCTTCTAAGTCACACCAAAACTGAGAAATGGAAACGAACTCGATAGACTTAAGACGTTAGACGTTGAACGTTGGCCAATAATGCAAAAAAAAAAAAAAAACAAACACGCACCAAGGATCGCAATGCACCATCCAAAACTGAAAAACCCACTTTGCTAAATGCTTTAAAAGGAGTTTAGATGTTTAGAAGGCCAAACAACGACTTGGGTTAAATGGATTCGCATAAAAAAAAAAATAACAGAAAAAAAACGTTATCAAAATTTGAAAAGGCTGCTATTTAGTTAAAAATACACTATATATATATATATTGAATGTATAAATGTGGTTGATATTTTGATATAGTGTGTAAATAGAATTTGATTCGCTCAGAGTGTATTGTAAATAGATCAAGTGAGTCGACTGGCGTTGCAATATGGCTCTCCTAGTTTTGTTAGTTTTAAGCACGAAAATATGTTGAATGCCGCTATATAAATACATATAGAAACGACCGATCCGATACGTAATTGTAATCGTAATTTGTAATCGTTTACGTTTCCGTTAAGTTTCCTCAAATGCGATATACATTTTAGTTACTCTACCATTATAATTATGAATATTAATATTATTATTATTATTATTACTATTATTATTGCTGTTTATTTAGTCCATTAGCTAGCTAGTTAGTGAGCTCCGCCGAGAGCCGTAGTGTGCCCCCTCCCAAAAACACGTATTTCATTGATAACGAGCAAAGAACGAAGAAAACTACTGTGAATAATAATTGATTGCAATCTGATTTGATGGTGAAATCAATAAATACAACACTTTTGTTTAAAAATACACCAAGTCGTTTATTGTTTAGTGTCCGGTCGTCGGCTCTGCCGATCGAATTGACTCTTTAATGCCGACCAAAATCCTAATCTTATCAACAACGCAGTCTGCAGACCCTCGAACATAGTTCAATATTGAGTAGCAGAATGCCCCGCTAATAAAAACTTCGATGAGATAACACGATTTTGCCAAGTTAATACTTTTCTGGGAAGAAGTGATTTGTTGGCTTATAGTAATATTTGATAGTCATTTTTTTAACTCAGCTGACTTAAAACAGATAAAAATGTGAGATAAGTCTTCAAGAATATAACTTAAATAAAAATTAAACATTTTTTAAAATTAAGTTTTAAGGTTTTGGGATTCAAAAAAGGTTAAACGTAGCTTTTTTTGGTGCCTAAAGCTTACTTTTTGAATTCCAATTACAGATATTACTTGGGGAGGATCAATGGTGCTTTGGTAAGTTGAAAATGTTTTTTGCTGTTTTACACTCCCATTTTGGATTTCATCGAGGGTTAAACATTGTCATTAGTTTTTCAGCCACATTTTTGTCATGATAAATCATCGCCACATTCTGCTTGATTTGCTTTTTGATCATTTGGAGTTTGAGAAATCTTTAAATATAAATGTTCTATATGGGTCTCCCTTTTTATAACCCTCTTCTTGCTTGTAATTATCGCAGATCCAAAAGCATCCCCAAGTCAAATATGATATGGAGGTGAGTTTAACCGCCAAATACTTTCGATCAAGAGGCTTAATTTTCTTTTCAGTTTTAATTGATTATTTGATTTGCCAGTGCTTTGCTTGTAACTATTCAAAAATGTATATTATTTTTGGTAAATATCCATAACACACTAAAGTTTTATATGTTTTCTTTTCTAGCTTCTTTCAAAGTGCGCAATTTAAATTTATATTTTTTGAGGTGACCATTTCTCAAAGTTCAAGTGACGACTCACTAGAGCAGGAAAAATATCGATATTAAACATCGATTACATCGCTGTAAATATTGATGTTTCTCCACCACTAATTGTGTGTGGCTACCCATCTCTGACGTTTTGAGCAACAAGTTGATTTTATTTTCATAAACAATGTTTTAAAAGGCTAAAAGCGAAGAATAAAGTTATGTTTCGTGGCGTATGTGTGTGCACCCAATCGATTGTGAGCTAGTGAGCAGCTAAAAAGCAGCGTAATTAACCCGGATCTAAAAAAATTAGTGCAATTGGTGCAGCCAATCGAGCAGCTAAACACGCCAACAAATCGAGATCGAGAATTGAGAATTGAGAATCGAGTTGACACCCATATTCCGCGGCCATGCAAATCGAAGTGGCGATCGAGTTGAGGTGATCTGTTTGATGACCTGGAATCATGCTGCTCAGCGAGACGCACTTTTGGACGACGTTGCGGGAGGAGGTGCGGATCAAGAGCCAGGATCTGGGTGCCTTTCGCTACCTTCGCCAGCGGGACAAGGAACAGGAGCAGCAGGACCTCACGTTTCTGGCCAAAAGGGACTACACGGAGCGTCGCAATGGATTGGCCGTTCTCAAGAATAGCAGTCGAAAGGCAGCCGGACGCTTGAAGGACAATCTCAAGAAACTGGAGGATCTGCTGCGCCAGCACAGGATCATCCACTCCGAGTGGCAGGATGCGGCGCAGGTCCTGCTCCTGTTTGCCCACGGATTGATAGCCCACATCTGCGTGGACATCTACACAGGGGACATCCTGCGAATGGTCTTCGAGAAGTATCTGGTGGGCAAACTCGCCTCGGAGATCATCACAGATGGTTAGTAGATCATCAAGATCTCACATGCTCACTATTTTCCCTTTTTCATGTCTACCCTACCCATAATTAAAGCTTGCCCCATTAATCATCATTTCAGCATGTAAATCTCACCTTCTTGTCTTGAAAAAATGCCTCGAAAACTGTTTGAATTCATTTAAATATGAACTGCTTTTATTGCAAAACCTTGTTAACACGCTACATTTAATCAGCTCTCCACGCATAGTTTAAAGTGGTTCTTTTTAACCATCATTAATAGCACTTTGTGTGTTAATCACGTAGAAACTGTAAAGTTCTCATGTAAAACTTTTTATTTTCAATTATTCAAAAATCTTTAAAAAATCTTTTTTTGTAATGACTACTTATTTTTTTAAATCCATTTATTTATACTTTTTTTTAATATTTTGACTATTTAAAATACTTAACGGCAGACAAGATGATTACATTTTAAGGTTTTAAAGACGTTTATTTAAAAGAAAAGTCTTTTATATATATATATATATACACTCTTTAAAAAAAATCAATTTACAAAATTCTTTAGTTTTCATTAATATGTTTTGTCTTAAAAAAAATCTTTCCAAGATTAAAATAGATAATGTTGAGATATGTATTTAAATGCACATATTCTCCACACAATTCTTTCGAAAACAATTCCAAAGACTATCTATCTATCACTAACTAATCAGCCCAATTTGTACTTCAGGGTATTTAGCTATTTATATGTATATAGTATATAGTAAGACACTGCATTTTGGCCTTGCACTTCAGAGCGCTGCTTGTGCAGTTATGGAGAAATTTGCATTGGCAACAAGTGCGACTTGATTTGCACTTTCCCACACCAACACAGCCGCACGCACACATGCAGGGGCATGCAATTATTGTAATTTTTAATTAATCTGCTTGCTTGTTTTGTTGCCTGTAAATATGCGAACCTCCGAACCTCCGCACCTCAGATCCCCCAAGATCCCCCAATCCCCATCGCCAATCCCCGCTAGCTTTCCATGTTTTGTTCGAGGCACTCATTCAGCTTTGTCGCTTGTGTCTCTTTTTTGTTCGTTGTTGGTCTTGTCTTGTGTTGTGTTGTCTTGTGCTCGTCGTCGTCGTTGTCGTTGTCGTCGTCGTCACTAGCTTTTTTCACCCGTTCCCACATCGTCTTGGCCTACAATACCAACCAGCTGACGGTGGTGCATCTGCAGCGGCCGAATGCGCGATCCCAGGGGCCGGAGAAGATCGCCAATATGGATCCGCGCATCTTCCACGTGATCATACCGGGCGCCACGGAACGCAAGCTATCCCGCCACCTCACAGTCAACGGCAGCTTCGATCTGTTCGTGGTCTGGACGCAGTCCTCGCAGAACGAAGTGTACCCCTGGAGGCCAACGATCAGGGATCAGGATCGAGCCAACATACATGTCTTCAAGATTAAGGGGTAAGCTTTGTACACACTGAAAAAAAGAAGAATGTACAATAATGTCAACATGAAAAATTATTATATAATATTATTATATTATCTGCAAAAATGTGGTGTATTTTGTTGTTTTATGTTTTTTGGGCCATTGCACAGTATTAAAACAATATCATTGTATAAATTAAAAGAAAGAAAATGTTGTATTATTTTAATTGACTTTTGAATAGTATTCTAAAAATTAAAATGGTAGAAATTTTATTTTATTTGACTTAATTGACTTTTGAATAGTATTTATATTTTTTTTTGTTAATTCCTTTAATGTATTTTGTTGTTTTAAAAAGTAATGTTCTATCTACAATTCAAGATTAACGATTTTTTTTGTATATTGACAACAACCGTTTAATTTTCAATATTTTGTAATGTATATTTTTAATTTTATTAAATAGATAAAAAAAGAATTTTTAGATATGCAAGAATAAAATATCTGAAAAACAATTATTTATTTTAATGTATTACTATTTTTCTGTCCTGATACATTTTGTATGTAATCTACTATTTTAACTATTTAATTGTAGAATTTAAATGTCTTTTTTAACCCCCCGTTTTAATCTCTTTGCTTAGTTTGCAGCTGGAATCGATTGCCTATTGCTGGTCGGAAAACGACCCACTGTGCGTGGACTTTTTGCGGAGCAGTGAAAGCCAGATCATCACATTGGAGCAGAAGGTGTCCCGCAAGGGCGACATAAGTGCCGAGATCTGCTCCTACGAACTGGCAGCTGGGAAAATGCAACGCACTGCCATTACCTCGATACCGATGGGGGCACAGATCTGCTCGTTTGCCTTCAGTCCCGACCAGGAGAAGCTCTTCTTGGGCAGCATAGATCGGAATATCTGCCTGCATGATCTGGTGCAGCAGTCGACGAAGTACGCCAACCAAATTGAGATTGTGCCCAATCAGTGTGCCTGGCACTGCGACTCCGCCATGCTGTGTGTGGCCAACGAGCGTTCGGTGCTGCAGTGCTTCGATCTGGCCCTGGCCACCATTGGCCATCAGCTGGTCAGCGAGAGTGTGACGCCCGGGAGTCTCCTGGACCTCTCCCACTACTTTGTGGCCCAGCCAACGCTGCTGAGTGTGGCCTTCAGCCGGAAGCCCGATTTGGCCACCTTTAAGCACACCTATGCGCAGACGGACTGCCTGCTTTTGCTGATCTACGAGCAGGGACCACTGGCCTGCATGCGCATCTTTGGCGGCACGGGAATGCGCGGCGATATACACAATTCCGGCCTCACAGCCGATGTAATTGCGGATAAGTATCTGCGATTGCAGCAGCCGGACAGGGCCGTGAATGTCCTGGCCGCCTTGAACTGGGAAACGTACGGAGCCATGTGTCTAATCACGCTGCACAAGATAGCCAACTATGTGTTCTTTGGCGGCGATCAGCGAAGACCTCGCATCGAACTGATGGCCAGAGCCTTGAAGACTTTTGCCCACACGCTTTCCGAGGAGACAAAGGATGAGTTCAGCGATCAGGTGTACGATCTGAAACGTCGCTTTTGTTTCTTTCTGCTGCGGTAAGCTAAGGTTACCTATATATCTCTAAATAAATACTAATTTATTTGTTTATCGCTAGCAAAAACCTTTTCGCCGAGGCCCTTGAAATTGCCCAGGATGTGGCCGACTATGACATTTTCATGGACCTGTACAATCTAACCAAGTGCATCTCTAGCCTGGGCGAATTTTCCCAGGTGGCCTTCAGTCAGGCAGCTGCCATAATTCATGAGGAAGACCGTGCCAATGGCAATCTTAGCCTGACCTGCGACCTCCGCTCCGAGTCGGCCTGTTCGCTGTCCACCTGCTCGGATTTATTGCGAGGTCAGGGAGCAGGATCAGGATCAGGATTAGCAACAGGATTGAAGCCAGTGCAGCCGCAGCAGGTCCTGAAGAACTATGTGCCACCGCTGCCCTCGTTCAAGTCGAAGGTTTTCAATGCAGAGATGATCAAGATCAACATACCCAAACCGGAGTTGAGGCCGCCTTTGCCAAAAGTTTCGATAGCACCACCAACTACTTCATTGGCGAATCTCTCCCTGAAAAGCAACCATCTACAGCAAGCGCCTGTAAAAAGCTCAAACTCAAATGGTAAGAAAACTAGACTATAATTAATTTTAATTGTATTTATTATTTACTGTCCTACTGTCTATTACTACAAGTAGCTGTCTAAGTTATTTATGTCTCTCAAATTTCTGTATCTACAGGTAACGTGTGGTCCCAGGATGTGCCCGATCAGACGGTGGGTCTCCCCATGCCCAGCAGTCCACTGCCTCGTCTCCAGCCCCCAAACAATTCGGATCAAGGCACCCACCAACTTGGTCAATTCAACGCAATGCCAACATCGCCTTTACCAGCAGCAGCAGCAGCAGCAGCAGCAGCGGCACAATATCAGCCCAAGTTCTACCAGCATCCGCTTGTCTCTGGCAACATACCCGCCATGCTGACCTCTGTGTCCAATGAGGACTTCCAGAAGCGCCTGCTGCTGAAGAAGCCAACGGCATCGATATTGTCCAATCCGGCCAATCCAGCTCCCACGAACGGAGAGGCAGCCACGCCGACTGCCAAGTCACAAACGGCAGAAAAGAACAAAGTCAAGTTCTCCGACACAATTCAAGTAGCTGTGGTGCCGGTAAGGCTACTTTAAAATTCAAAATGTCTATGTTTTTAAATGCTTATTTATCCAACAGGAGATTCCTCGCAAGGAGAAGCCTATGCCGCCGAAGAGAAATGGTTATTCGAGGCCAGCAGCGCGGCATTTGACCAATCCTAAAAAGGAACTGGCTGACAGTTTGCCGCTTTGTCATCCCAACGATGAGTATCTAAAGGATTTCAATCCCATCACCACAAGTAAGTTGAATGTTCAATTAAATGCTATATGTGTTATACAACTTATATATTGAAGATGTGAACAAACCACCAATTCGACGTCGCGAAGAGGAACAAAAGCAGAGCAGCAGTAAGGGCGCCAACTCCTCCTCCATCAAAGTGGTGCACTTCGGTGTGGTGTAACAATTGATAGAGCAATCCCCAAGATGAAACCATTTCTTGCTTAAGAGCCGCGTCTTCCACTCGTTTGTAACCATTGCCGTCCCACAGTTAGTGCAAAGCTTTAAATAGGAAAGTTTTTATTCATAGGTTCTCTCTTTCTCTACTCTCTACACTTTACACACACAGGTTACTTATTAAAAATATATAATGTTTGCCAAGTCGGCCTACTTCTTCTTGAAGGTGGTGGGTCCGCCCATGCGTTCCAGCTCGTCCTTGAGGTCCAGTAGCTCCTTGTCCGGCACATAGCGTCGCTCCTCGCAGTCATCGGTGTGCTCCTGGACCCTCAAGCTCACTCCTTCGGGCAGGGCTGCCTGGGCGAGTCGCAGGAATTGCGGATAAACCGGAGCATCCACGTTGTTTAGCTGCAAATTGCGCTCGTAGGTGGTCAGCTTGTACTCGGACTCGATGACCGTGGAGTTGGGCCGCAATCGCTGCACCTGCGTCTGCTGCGGCGGCAGGGCATAGCAGTCGGACACGTCCAGGTCCAGATACTCGGCCACTCCGTGCAGGAACCGCTGGTAGCTCTCCAACTGCGGATAGTCGTAGCCTTTGATTTGCACATTCAGGCTGTCGTACTGCGGGAATTTCGGTTTGAGGGACTGCAATTGAGAAAAGAATGGAGTTTATAAGGTAGTGATAGGGTTTGTGTATTCCTTCCAGGAATATGGATTGTAAGGGACTATCTGCCAAAGGTTAACCAAGAGAATTTACAAAAATATTAAATTAAATTTAATTTTCAATCTATTATCACGGGGTTTTGAGAACTGAAAGAATTCAGGGAAACATCTGAGATATCATGGTAAAACAACCTGGTAACTAAAACCAGATATGTTTACTCACAAACAAATGCTTGTAGAATCAAAGAGGATGTCTTACTTTAGGGAAACTATAAAACACCTTGCAATAAACCAAAAACAATTGACAAATAAATGAATTAAAATCACACCTCCAGATAATCCGGTTCATAAACACTGCCACTTGTGCTCCTCACAGCTGTTGTTGTGGCTTTCGGCACTTGCAGCGTTAAACGCACACTTGGAATCAACTAAAATTAACAAAATAATATAATTTTAATAAACAATTTAATACAATTTGATGTTTATTTACCCTGCGTAACATTTTTTTGGTGTTTCGTGTTTCCAATTGGCAACTAAAGTCAGGTTATATCACATCAGCTGTTGGCATGCAGCCACACTGAAGTGCGGTGTTTGTGGTTTTCACCCAAACACAGGTACGGTCACACTTGACATAGCCAGCCGAATAGAAGAGGAAAATATTTGTATTTGTATTTACTCTACGATCCATTGTACGCACATAAAACACGTAGTATTCGCTCGATTTCGAAGTCTACAAAATGCAGGGAACGGCAACGATATTGTTAGTTGCGTTGGCGCTACTTTTTGGCCCAGATACAACGGCCGGAAAATCAGATCCGGGCATTGTGGAAGTCCCGGTGACAACGGTAAGAACATGGGAATATATTGTAGCAACTGGAAAGTAATGTGGCATAATTGAGTTGTTTTATCCTTCCAGGACTTTCCCAGCATTCGGGAACAGCGTCCGCTTTTGGCCAATACGAAAATCTACGCTCAAAGTGAGTATTATTAGCATGGTAGGGGCCGAAAACGCGTGACGAATGCACCTTGGTTAATCACACCTTTCCACATCCACATCCACATCCAATGTTTCCAGTCAAGGGCTGCAAGTCCCATGTGGAGACCAATCTAACTGTAACCTTCCGGCTGACGGAGCACCCCTGCATCTACGATGATCGCCGTGTGGGTACCCTATTTCTATACCTCCAAATCTCAGCTTATAACCTTCTTTTTTCTGTTCTGTTGTTCTGAAACAGCTTCAGACAATCTCCAAAGATAGTGCTCTGCAGCATAACAGCAGCATCAATAATGTCATTACCGAGGTCACCAAAACATATCCCTGCAATGGACTCATTGTCCTGGCAATGGATAAGGATAAACCGGTTGAAGGAGGAGTGGCTACCGGAACGCCGGAACCCAAACATCCCATGCTGGAGAACAAACACCCACTTTCGGTAAATTCCAAATGAATCAGCGCGAAAACTGCTAGACATCAACTACCAATCCAAACAAGCCAAAACATTTCAGCTTTCTGCCTTATCAGTCACAGCTTATCGTTTCTCCAAAAACAGGGTACTCTAAACAGAAGTAGGGCATACCGGTTTTAAGGATATCTTGGTATACTTCCGATCACTTATGGTCATATAAAGAGGGTACTTTAAAAAGAAGTAAAGCATATTAAAAAGTCTTCCGTTAGGATTTCTGCAATAATAAAAAAGAGGCATTTGAACAAATGATGATTACTTTTAAATAACTATAAGCACATAATTTTAATATGTTGTTAGTAACTCTTAGGCGACTTATCGCTTTTTCGGGCACTTAAAGTAGTTTTATTTTATTTAGGGAAGCAAAAATGCTTGCCACGCGGTAATAAATAAACACTCCCATTTCCTTTCAGCCCACAACAAACCCGATTGCGAGCGTGAAGGAGGATGGCATCTACGAGATTGAGGTGATCATCGCAGTGGGGCCAGTCGCCCAGATCACTGCCGTAGTTCACCTCCAATTCCTGGGTCCACACGGCTATATCTCGGCCATAGATTGGCCATTTCTGCCGGTATGTGGATGAGTTGTTCCAAAGTGCTCACATTGTTTATACAAAATGTATTTTTGTTTGCCTCCCCAGTTCTATTTAATCATGTGCATTGTTTATGTGATATTTGGCATCATTTGGCTGTTTGTTTCCTTCGCCCAATGGCGGGATCTGCTGAGAATTCAGTTCTGGATTGGTGGCGTCATTCTGCTGGGCATGCTTGAAAAGGCCTTCTTCTATGCCGAGTATCAAACGCTGACGAACAAAGGAGTTGCCGTGCAGCATGCCGAACTAGTTGCCGAATTTGTGTCCTGTGCCAAGCGCACGCTGGCCAGGATGCTGGTCATCATCATGAGTCTCGGCTTTGGAATTGTCAAGTGAGTGGAGCAAGCAACAGATTTATCAACAAGAACTCGTTCCTAGTTAATTAATTCAAATAGTTGTAATAGTTGATAATGAACGACTAGCTAGTGTTTCTTAGAAATTCTGATTACACTGGCCTACAAAATGAAGTCTATAAAATATTTGTCCTGTTTTCATAACTATTTGATTTGTTATCTCCATTTGTACTTGATCGATTTCGGTCAGCGATAGATGTCGACTTAATTTTGTAAGCCAGTGTTATAGTAGTCATCACCTTTCCTAGAGCAAATAGCCTAAGTAAAAATAGGGAAACCACACAGTCATACAATTTGTAATCTATTCCATCTTTTTCAGACCCCGTTTGGGACCCATGTTGCATCGGGTGGTGGGCATTGGTACCCTCTACTTTGTGCTGGCCTGCGTGGAAAGTTATTTGCGTATTACCAATGTGAAGACCGATCGCAGTGAGCTGCTGGTGGCCAGCATTCCATTGGCTGTTCTAGACACAGGAATCTGCTGGTGGATCTTTACCTCGTTGGTGCAAACCACTCGCACACTCAGACTAAGGAGGTGACTAAATCAATAGTTTATACTCCATTCTCATTGCTCTAACATAATATACACATTTCAGGAACATGGTCAAGCTATCGCTGTATAGGCACTTTACCAACACGCTGATCTTTGCTGTTATCGCTTCCGTCATCTTCATGCTCTTTGCTTTGCGTTTGCGTAGGATCGAGAACTGTACGCCTGTGAGTTGACTATGGATGAAGATGGAGCTGCGAGCTCAGTTTTAACGATTTCACGCTTCATTTAGGGCTGGCGTGACATTTGGATCGATACTGGCTTCTGGCACATTCTGTTTTCGGTGCTGCTGCTGGTGATTATGATACTATGGCGACCCACGAATAACAATCAGCGCTATGCTTTCACGCCATTGCTGGATAATCCAGAGGATGAAGACGATGAGGGTATGGCTAGAGATGGAAAGTAACCTGTAAACATTAACTAATTGAGACCTATTTCACAGACGAAGAGGATCAGTTTGTGGCCGATGCGTATGGTGTGAAAATGCGCGGCCAAAATGGAACGCCAAAGACGTCGACCAACTCGCGAAATGCCACGAACAACGAGGAGGATGACCTGCGCTGGGTGGAGGAGAACATACCCTCCTCGATGGGGGATTCGGCTTTGCCTATCCTAGACTCGGACGAGGAAATCATCAACACCAAGTTTGAGGTTTCGAAAATGCAATAAGCTGTGACATTCGCTGGACCGAAGAGACTTTCTACGCATATTTTTGCACATTCACACATCTGCGTGTCACCATCGCCAGCAGCAAAGCTATGTATTTTTTTTTATTCTATTCGCCATCGAGGAGAGGGAAACTTTTACTGCTGCTGGACGGAAAAATTGCCGCGCTGCGCTGACATAGACACAGATCTTCCAAATTTTCGAGACACAGTTTTTGTCCGGCCACGCCTTCTGAGAACCCGTGTAAAATAATGTACGTACTTGTAGTTCCTTCTACGCGCACGTCCTCCCCCCTCTAAATAAACCTAACTTATTCATAACACCTAGCCTAAGTTGTAGATAAAACTACGCGACGAACCGTAAAGCTTAATTTATAAACTTCGACTTCGATTCTATTGTTGATCCCATAAGTACACTGGCTTATTTGTGTATGAGCGAGTAAACTGTTGTCGCCTCATTGTATATAGTTGGTAACACACACAAGAAAGAAAAAAAAACTGAAACTATCTATATAAATGTATGAGTATTATGTAATAACTATGATAAAAAGCGAAAAATCTTTAACTTCAACTACTTGCTGATAACTAAAATGATTAAAAAGTAATTGTCTAAGTAAGCACACAATCACTGGCGACACACACACACACACACCTCAACGTATTTAAATATATTTTTAATCAAAGCGGTTTAAGATTTTCATAAATAAATGCAATCGTATCTTAAAGGTAGCCATGAACCAATATCCATATCTTTTTGTTTGATTTGTCAAGACAAGTTTTTCCCATTAAACGAGATAAAAGAGTTCGTATCTTATCTTCTACAGAAAGCTAAATATGTGTAATTCCCCCCCAATTAAAACAGCAAAAGTAATAATTCAATATTTATTAGTTTTCTCTTTGTATAAAATTTCTCTTTTTCCAAATTTTTTATTTAAAAAAAAAGTATTAAGTAAAGAAGAGAAGGTAATGTGCATTTCCTCAGATAATACAATCACAAAGCGATTTCAGTTAATGTTTTGTTTGCTTCGAGCTCTTACTGGTTAGAGTACACAAACACACACACGCAATACACAAAGTCACAATTAAGAAACACAATATATTTTATTCGCGGAGAAATTAAGAATATGAAACTGAAATGCCTCGACTTCGGTTATTACAAATAAGATACAAATACTTATGGATACTGTCTTGCGGGGCGGCGAAGTTGGCATTTTAGGCTGAACTATGTATTTTTTGGATGCAGAGCGCGACTCTAGATTAGCAACAATATGTGTGTGTGTGTGGGGGGACAAATTTACATTAGTATTGTTTTTTGTTGTGGTGTAACAATTTTCATTTCGTTTCATGTAACAAATTTACTGCCTAGAAATGCGTATTTAATATTTTGTAGTCTGCGTTTTTTTCGTGGACCAGGCTAAGAGGTGTTTATACTCTATATACTCTATGAAAAAGAGTGTGAAATAGTAGGGAATTGTTTTGAATATTATGGAAATGATATATATTCCATTTAGATAATATTACAATTCACTTGGTATTTAACACTTTTAAGGAGACAGTCTTGCATAGAAGGACACCCCCGCAGCCTGGTGGTTTATGTGGTTTTATGTGGTTTATTCAGCCCTCAGCCGCTCCAGTTGCTCAGTTCGAATCGGGCTTGACATTGCGCCGCAGGATGGCCGCTGCCAGGTCCTGTTTCATGGCCGCCTGCTGGCGTTGATCTGCCAGCGACTGTGTGCTCCGCAGCCCGTTGACAATGTCCTTGGTCTTGCCAAAGTAGATCTCGTTCAGCGTGTTCCTGATCTTGTTCTCCATCTCCTCGACCATCTTGCCAATGTTGGCTATGTGCGGCGACGACTCACTCACATTTGCATCCTGTTCCTGCTGCCGCGTGAGGCTGCCGCCCAAGTTCATGGTCCCCGAACCCTGTTTGTGGGTCTGCAGCCACAACATGGCCGTCGACGTT